AGTGACTCCGGTAGGACACGAGGAGAAGGACTGTCTCCGCTACACCAAGAACACAACCCTGGGCCCTCTCAACGATCGCAAGTGTCACACCTTGTGCTACTTTCTGTGTGAGAAAGGATTTTAGTTTTAGGACAACTCACACGGGCAAAGTTTTTCGTTTTTGTTGTTGAAGTAAGAGTTTTACGGCACTTGCAACACATATTATAGTTGTCCTATAAAGTATCAACGATTTAAAAAAAAAGTTTTAGTAAGAGGTTTACGGTAGTCTATACTTGCAAAATACATTTGTCATGTAAGTATTGGAGACTTTTTGCTAGTTTTGGTAAGAGTTTTACGGCACTTACAACCCACATTTGTTATAGTATCGAAGATTTTTAAAATGAGTTTTAACAAGAGATTTACGGTACTTGCAATACACGCATTTATCACAGTACATTGTATTGAAGTTTTTAAAAGAAAGTTTGAGTTAGAGTTTTACAGCACATAAAACGAGCGCATGCGCGCGCACATACACACACACACACACACACAAACTCACACATACTTACACACGCTCATCATATAATAAGTGCGTAAGATTAGAAAGATTACCACAGAGAGTAATAAACAAACAAAGAACAGAAAGAGGAGAAATAAGGGCGATAAGTGTTTGGCAGGAAAGAAGGAGCAAACCACACCAGAGCACCCGCCAGCCAACCACACCACTAACACAACGTTTTTGTATTTTGATGAAGTTATGGGTTTTTTTTTCTGTTGTTGTTGGGTTTTTTTAGGGGGGGAGGGTTGTTTTTTGTTACCATACATGAAATAGCTCCTTTCAAACAAGGTAATAATATAATGTGTTGTTAACATGTTGCACTGTAACTGAAAAAAAAATTCTTTTGGAATAACAAATCGCTGCTTTTGGGATAAATAATTGTCGTACTGTATCATGTACCATTAATACACTGAAATCGATTCTTTTAGAAAATCCCACATCTGCTTTAGAGACAAAGAAAAACTTTTTGGGAAAATATATTGTTGCACCATACTTGAAATACCCTTTTTTGAAACGATAAATGGTTGCACTGTACTTGAATTACCTTCTTTTGGGAAAATAAATAACTGCTTTTGGAACCAATAGGCCTACTTTTTTTGTCCCTTGCCCATTTCTGTGATATTGACGCCATCTGATTAGTAGAAAAATGTGCGTATGAGTGCCCAATAATGTATAACGTACAAAATTGTATGACATATAACTGTTACATATAGATGTTTAAGATAATAATGGATGTTTGTGAAGGATCTGAGAGCAATGATGACTTTAGAAATGACGGTGATGGTGGTGGTAAGTGATGATGTGGGATGGTGCTTAAGTTTATAATTATAAGAAAACATGCTTCTGTTGTTTGGTTGTTGTTGTTTTTTAAAATAATGTTAGCGTTAGTCCTATCCTCCTCTGCTCTGATGAGTCACGAGGGACGTGGGCACCCGCTATCCCGTTCCCTACTGGAACCATCTTTAATGTCACCGTGAAGTTCCGAAATGGTGGGCACAGTCTCTGCTATGGTTTTGGCACCAATACATTGTTCCACTGACTTTGAAATACCTTTATTTGGGACAATACGTTGTTGCATTGTTCTTGAAATACGGGGGTCTGAGGGACAAGCCATAGTTGCACAGAGCTTGAAATAACGTTTTAGTGGACAATAAATCTGTTTTTCACTCTAATAAATTATTATTGTTGGACTGTAACTGAAATACCTTCATTTGAGACAAGAAAATGTTGAATTGCACTTGAAATACTTTCTTTTGGGACTGTAAGTGTAAGTCATTGCACAGAACTTGAAACACCGTTGTTTAGGGGGATTATAAATTGTTTCACTGTGCTTGATATACCTTTGTTTGAGACAATAAAATCGATCCAAAACTTTTCAGTATGTTTGAGATCCTCCCAGCTGAGATGATCCTGTGTCTTTCAGCTGGGAGGTTGTAATGTATCCCTCCCAGATCGGTTGACACTGAAAAATTAAATAGGCTCAGAAGACCGCCTCCTAAATGATCTAAATTGTGTCAATGGGGCATGAAGATGCCTATATTAAAAAAAAACAAACTGGATTTCTAGTACATGAAACAGAATCCCGTTATATTTAGAAAAAAGTAACAGATATTTTGACCATAAGAATATCTAGAAACCAGAAAAAACTACTTATGCAATTGTTTTATGAACATGGCAACCAGTGTCTTTTGTGTAGCAGTTAGGCATTTTGCCACAGTGAGCCGAATCAAACATGTTAGCTTTTTTTAAGGTTGGAATCAAACATGTTAGCTTTTTAAGGTTGCGAATCAAACATGTTAGCTTTTTAAGGTTGGAATCAAACATGTTAGCTTTTTAAGGTTGCGAGTCAAACATGTTAGCTTTTTAAGGTTGGAATCAAACATGTTAGCTTTTTAAGGTTGCGAGTCAAATTTGTCATACTATCCAGCATCTGCGTTTGTTGCCATTTTTTGGTCCAAAAGTTGCCACAAAAAATGGCAAAAGTTGCCATAAAAGTTGCCATTAATTTTCAAGCTTTCAACTCTTTGCGGCGACGTATTTAGCAATATATGTTGATAGAGGTAACTTAATCTAAAGCACCAGAATTTCTTGTGCAGAATCCAGAAGATCATTTGTAGTCAAAAAGAGTGTAAAAACGTGAAAAATAAAGGTTTCACAACAGAATGAAATCAAAATTAGAACAGCACATAAACAACCACAGAATTTAATAAATAAGTGCGTGTGTCCACCTATCCGAAAATTGGCCATTTTAACCCTAAACGTGTGTAATTCAAGAAAAGGTAGGCCTACAGGATATTACACGTAAATTATAAAATCACACCCAATTAAGGGGCCAGCCAGTGTCAGCATTCGGTTTTGGTGGAGACACGCTTTATTTAACATAACACATTTATACATAAAAAAGGTAGGAACAACATCAAATTAAATAACATTACGCTGTATAAAAACAAAAAATAGTAAAACAACACATTAGAACAATAACAAGAAAAAAAAATAACTCACTAACAAATGAAAACACAACAAAGAAGGAAAAATAAAAGAGAAATAGCAATAAAAATAGCATGTAATGTACTATATTTTTCAAGTAAAAAATAACAAATCAACGTGGTGTCAACAAGTAAGAAAGAGAAGAAGTGAAGTGGGAGTGAAAATAGAAGTTCTTTCTAAGAGTAGAGAGGTTTGATTTCTTTTTCTTTTCTTTTCTTTTTTTTTTTTTAAATTCCCCAGCAGCGTTTTTGTTTTTGGGTGAGTTTTTTTTTTCGAACAATGCAAAAATCGCGGCCGCGATTCGCTGGACGAATAAATGCCAAAAATTGCGGCCGCGATTTGTGGGTCGCAGCCGCGACAAACGCAGATGCTAGTGCTATGCCAAAATGGCAGCTTTTGTCCCATCTATGAAGCAAAATTTGCCTGTCCCAACTCAATCTAATGACTCCGAAAGGCAGCGTACACTGTGTTTTCAGTGAGACAAGCTCAGTGCATGGAGAATAAGAAACATCCATCAAACAACGCAAGAATGTTCACTTCAAGAGTGTCCCATTGAAGATTCAAACCAGCGTCATCCGCACGCCAGTCCAGCAAACATGAACTGAGTGAACTAATAGAGCACTTCTGCTGCAATAAAAGCAAAACCAAATACGTTTTTACCAAACATCCTATAATGAATATTGATCAAAACACAAAAAATGAACAGAGTAAAAAAACGTATTTATTAGAATTTATTTCAATAAACATACAACAATGATAAGAAAGAATAGAAAAGAGCAGGCATGAACAAAGTACAGCACGCAAGTCAGATGTTGCCAGAGGTAGCTGTGAGTCAGATGTAGCCCGCCAGCAGTTTCAGATTCAGACAGGGCCACAAGTCGACAATCTGTAAGTTTTGGCCCGATCAACATATAGTTTTTGGTTCAGCTAGAAGCAATAGATCTAATACCTTATTTTATGAAAGAAATGCCCTCGAGTGACATATCAACATTCTATAGCCTCAGTTTTTTTAGTCTCAATTATGAGAACTTGGGTATTTCAACCAATTTGACCCTGTTTTCTCTCCCTTCAGCCCATGAGATATTCAGAACTACTCGATCCGACCCACGACCCGGACATGCTTGCCCACACCTGCGATAAAGGGTTAACTCAAGTCTTCCGATTTCTCCACTTTGACAGACTGACTCGGAGCGAAATCTGGGATCAGCTCGGCCACTTTCATCCTTAGTTCGAGTTTCCTCTTCTGTCGCTCCTCCTCTCTCTTCATCTGCTCCGGAAGATACCTCCAGCCACGGAAAGCTTTACGTAACGAGTACCTGAGAAAAAAATTTGACATAAAATAAAACCATTAGATTCTTTGGGAAAGTAAACAACAAAAAAGTGTGAACTCAAGACTCATTGGGTTTGTAATAAACACCTCTCTATGTCGCACATCACTTGCCAATAGTAAGAAAACTTCCCAATGAAAAGACAAAAGATTTACATTAAGCAAAACGCATCACAACCAGTAAAAAGTAAGGTATGAACCAACATTCCCCACCTCCCTCTGTAGATAGTGATGTCGTGCCAACTTCTTTATGCGGTGATGAGATTCACCCCCTCCCTCCCCTATCCCACACCTTTCCACTCACATCTCCCTTCACTGCTACCCCCC